GGGGGGGGGGGGGGTGTTTCGTGCATGCGCAAGTTCGTTAGGTTTCGGTGATGGCACCCGTTTCGTGAGAACAGGAGGAGGCAGCAGCGATGGCCACGCCTTTCGCCACGCAACCCATTGCTAGTTTTGTCAGATTGCTCCCGTTATATTTTTCTCTCCACACACTCGGGCATGACGATGCTTTCTCACAACACGCGCGCGTGTGTGTGTGTGGCCCCGTGTTTTTTTTTTTATCCAGGTGCCCGACATGTGCCAGATCAGACCATTCGTGGACCTGGCTTCCGGCACGCTTACCGTCACCGCTCCGAGGATGCCTGACCTGGTTCTCCCGCTGGGGTACTTGGGAGGGGAACGGGGGGTAGGAGGAGGCGGAGGCAGAGACGAGGCATCCGACGGCGTGACGGGGACGGAACGTTGCTGCCTCCAATCGCCGAGCAGCAGCAGCAGCAGCCCTGGCTGCGGCGGCGTCGTTGACTGCCGTTTTGGCGGCAACGGCGGCGGCAACAGCGGTGGTGACGGTGCTGACGATGCTCGCTGCTGGCGCGGAGGAGGGGGCGACGACACGGTCGTTCGCGTGTGTGGTAACCGGCGGGCGGGAGTGACCTGCGCCGCGTCGGCGTCCGCCTGGTTCACGCGGTTCTTGGGCGTGCCGTGCTCGCTCGTACGTGCCGCTGCCGTCGATTTCAGCACTGCCGCCGCGGGTGCCACCAGTGCTACCGCCGGCGGCGGCGGCGATTGGTCGAGTAACAGCATTCCTCCTCCGCCAATGCAGGAGGACAACGACGGCGACCGTGCCATAAATACTGGTATGCCATGGTTTCCTGCGGCGGTGAGGTTGTTGGTCGGGTGGCGTTCGTCGTCGTCACCGGCGCCGGCCGCGGAGGGTGGCGTCGGGGGAGAAGCAGAAGACGCCGCTGCGAGCAACAGGGCGTTCGCGAACGAAGCCCAGTTTCTTCTCATCTCCCGGGCCAGCGTGGCCAAAGTGAACGACATCATTCGCCGCGAAAGCGCCAGCGGTAGCGGCATCGACGGCGTCGAGGAGGACGGCGGGGACGGTGGTGTCGTTGCTCCCAGGAGGCGTGGGGGGAGCCGGCAAGAGCAGGTGCGTGCTCGTTTTTTTGCGTGCATGGTCGAGATACTGACTGCTGCTGTGATCGGTTTGAGTTGACTCAGACACGTTCACGAACACTAGGAAGAACAAAAGGAATTAGAACAGCCTCTCCAGATGATATGACACCCCCCACCTTACTTGATGGCACACAGGAAAAACGATCCCAATGCTGCCAGCACACGGCGCGTTTCTTTCTCTCCGCATCACGCCCATGGGTGTACACGCACATACATCGACATTTGATTATTGCAGCGTGAGATCGATAACCAGCAGTTACCTCAGGAGAGTGGCGGGATGAGTGCGCCCTTCACCCAACAATATTCGGCCGGCCACGCTCGCCGTGCTTCTGTCACAGAGCCATTTCGCGTGCAATACTCTAGTCAACGAACGCCACAGGTGCAGTCTCACGCCAAAGCCTTTTCGCTCTTTCAGACAGCAAAACCACTGCCCCCGCAACTCTTTCCCGGTGCCTCCTGATCCCCGTTGGTCTCCTCCGTTGTCCGTTGGCTCCTCTAACAAAGGTGACAACGGCCCATTTCAGGCCTAACTTCGTTGTTGACGGAGTTCGGGCGCACGAGGAGGATGGGTGGAAGAGCGTCCGCATCGGCGAAGCTTTGAGGCTTCGCGTCACCGGACCTTGCAGCAGGTATTCACGCCGCGTTCGGTCCCTCTACCTGTTGCGACACCAGATATTTGTAGCAACAGGCACCATACAATGCAGGCAGCGCCGTTGGAAATGTCATCGTAGATGAATCCGGTTCGCGTCAGTCACAATCCCTTGACAACACCCAGCCGGGAAATTCTACACGGAACAGGTGCACGAAGTTAGAAGTATAAGGTACACTGAGTACTAAATTGGACGCAGTCGGGAGGGAATCTGAACAAAACACAGCTGGTACAACGCCAGATCCAAGCACACAAGGTTACTACGGCCGCGCACTGGCTCGCTGCTGCCCGTGCGACGGGGACGCACTCTCGACCTCAGGTGGAGCTAAGGCTCACACGCCGCGCACCATGGGGAGGATGGATCCGACACTAGATCCGACACTAGAATAACGTCTGTTCTGATCTGATGTCCTCACCCTGCCCCTTTCTGCCGTCCCCTTCTTCCCCCCTCGAGCCAGGTGCTCCATGATCAACATCGACCCCGAAAACGGGGACACGTCGGGCGTCGCGCTCAGGGTCCTGGCGGCTTACCGGCGGGAGCGGGCCAACATCCTCTTCGGCCAGTTCCTTGCCCTGGACTGGCAATCCCTGCCGCCGTGGGGGCCTCCTCCGCCTCCTCCTCCGCCCGCCTCCGCCACTGCTCGATTCGCCGAATCAGAAAGCTGCAAAACCGCCAATAATGGCGGTGGCGGTGGCGGTGGCGGCGGCGGCGGTGGCGGTGGCGGAGAGGAAGACGGAAGGACTGTGGCCGAAGAACGATCGACTGCGACGCCGGAGGCAGGGATGGTCGGGCGAGGAGGAGCGGGATGGATAGGGCCGGAGGCAGAAGGAGGTGTCGAGGAGACGGTACAGGCGGGTGAACCTGCCCCTGCCGCTGGGGGCGAAGAAGGCGGTTGGCAATTTTGGGTCTCGGAAGGCATGGAAGTAGCTGGCGAGACGTGATCTAAATCGGAACGCGGTTGTTCCTGCGTTGTGGAGGGTTCTTTTACGTGGGTCTGTGAGGTTGATGAAAGCAATACCAATGTTGAGTTTTCTTCCACATAATATATCATTGCCTTTGAATATATACGTATATGTTTTCCTCCGGTGATGACGCGGGCTCTGTTTGGAACGAATTGCGCAACCTACGTGATTGCAGCGGTGATTCTTTCCTCCAGGGTTACTAACCTTATCTGCATAGGTTCATGCATGGGTTCATGCATGGGTTCATGTATGGGTTCAATCTTGTGTTCTGCCCGGGATCTCTTGGGAACATCACACAGCAGCAGCACCAGGACGTCTCCTGAGAAACGTATCAGATACGTTGGGATACCCAGCCGCGCTTACCTGCACCCGCGGTCGCCCCGGTGGTCTAGATAACCTCGGAACCGCTTGACGCACAGTCGCGAGTTCGAATCTCAACGGGGTGAAAAATTACAATTGTGCGGGTGACAGCCAAAAAACACCCGAAAAGCTTTCGTGAGTACCACTCTTCGACGTTAGCGCCGTTGACGAGGAGGGAAGGGGGCGTTTGAACCCTTATATCGCGATAAAAAAACAAAATCCAGCACTCGCCGCAGGAGGAAGGTAGGGCACGAAAAAAAACGAAAAGAAAAAGCCCCGGTGTTTACCCCCTCCTGTGTGACCCTTGATGTTTGTAGTTATACGAAAAAATAAGTACCGCACAGTGTAGTACTCTATTCATATACTGAAAAGGGTAGCACACTGTTAACCACGAAAAATGAGGGGACTGTCGCCATAGTAAATAGGACGAAAACAACACCAACACGTTTTTTTCTCTAGAAAACCGTTTCATGTTGTTGCTGTGGCCGTGCTTGTTGCACTCCATACTAATCTACGTTTTTTTTTTTTTCTCCCATCATTGGACTCTGTCGTCTGCACCTCTGGCCCCTATCCTCCACTTCTTCCAGCTAGATGACCCAACCGGGGTCGCATACAACAACAACAACAACAACATAGGGGGGGGGGGCTGGACCCCCTCCTGCGGTGCCAGCCTGAGGTATTTTCATCGCGAGAAGGGTACAGCAATCCCGTCCCTCGCGACTTTCGAAGTCGATTATGGTTTACTAACGAGCTTTGAAGCGCGTCGCTTTCACCCTAGACCAGGATGTATTTAGTGAGAAAAAAACTCACTCCGCCGGGACTCGAACCCATGATCTGACCCTTAGCAGGCTGCGAGATTATCCCCTAGTCCACCGGGGCGACCGGGACTATATCACGTACGTACTGCTGTAGCGATATTTCTTGGTTCTTGTATTTTTATTTAGATTACTTTCGAAGTAGGTAGGGTGGTACTTGGCCCGTGACCACGAAAGGCATCCATCAGCGTCAGTTGTGGACCAGTCAGTATGGAAAATGCTTGAAGGTAGTGGGCAGAGACCTGGACAACAACAACCACAACGACGACAACGACGACGACCGCAACAACCAGATCAGCGACAAAATTTACAACCCGGGTAGTATTTAGTCTAAATAGGAGCCCAGAGTCAGATTTGATCGCGTCATTCGCGCGGGCATTTGCAGGTGACCTTCCACGCGCACCACACCCGACGCACTACTCACCACAGACAACACAGACACCCTTGAGTAGATCTGCCATGCGTGCTTGATACTGGTGAAAAGCAGACCGCGGGATAGGGGGCGAGATTCATGATGGCGCAGTATTGTAGCTGATTCTTTATACAAAGTGCGGTATGATGCAGACTGCTCTAGCGGCCAGGTCTACATGTCGACGCCGTAGATCTAGATTCACGGAGTAACTTTACAGGAGCAGTCACAGCTCACAATACCACCAGTCAAATTTGATTTCTCTGTGTGAAGAGTCTACAAGCCAATCATAATCATTGGAACGAGCTGAAATAGAAGATGAAAATTGTCTCTCGCTATTGCTTTTCTGATTAATCCGCACCAAAAGACGGCTTCACTCGTCTGGGTAGGGCATCAAAGCAGGGTTAATGGAGAACTCAGTAAGGACGGACGAGGTAGAGGAGGCGGAGGTCGAGCATGCCACAGCCTGACGCGGAAAACTTTCTGGCTTCCGCGATCGTGTGTTGTTGTTGTTGTTGTTGTTTTGTTTCTCACATTAGCTCTAAAAAAGAAAGATTGGGAGCCCGTGGTCTCAAAACCCGGCATACACGACCCCACGAAGAAACAGAAAAAATAGGGTACAAAAACCACTCGGAAGAGAAACAAAATGATAGAAAGAAAGACCAGCTACCGCACCAAACGAGAAAGAGCGTCGAGGAGACCGATCAAAATAAAATAAAAGGAGAA